AAGCATCCCATGCTTCCACCCGGAAGCATCCCATGCTTCCACCCGGAAGCCCAGCTGCTTCACTGAGGCCATGAATTCCATGCAAGATTCCGCCTGCTGTTATCGGAATGCCTGCCATGAGTCCCTTGCCACCGGGAAGCACTTTGAAAAGTCTAAGATGGAAGGTCAGTGCCCAAGCAAACAATGATTGGATGGTGCCACACAGGGGTTCATCCTTCAACACGATGGGGATGGTAGCTCCCTTGTATGCAATCAGCTCATCTACAGTCTTCCAGCTCAGTGTAAGAAGATCATCATACAGGAGAGCAGGAGCAGAATCTACCTTGACCGGAAGGACACCTCTCTCCATGAGGTACAACACCCACCAGAGTGCAGCATCAAAAAGGGCATTGTGTGACTTGAAGACACCTGTGATGGTAAAGGTGTGCTGTTTCGCTGTTACATCATTGTGACCCTGTACGCTGTCATCAGTGAACATGCTGCTCAGACAGTAGCCCGAGCACACCTTGAAATTCCCGATGGTGATGCAAATCTCAAACTTGAAGGGCCTGATCTTGATGATTTCGACATCGCCCGTCTTTGCAAACTACAATATTTGAGGTCAGGTTAGACCATCACAGGTGTGTAGAACGCACAAATTTGCGATTTGTGTACTCCTGGCAGGACACTCCTATGCTTCCGGGGCGCACTGCAAAGAAAAAGCCTGAGAGCATGCAGCAGACGTGCTGCATGCCAACAATCCTGCTCCTTCCTGAGGCTTCATCTATGGTGGCTTTGATGAGGAGCTGGGTCTCTGCACGGCCATAATAGAACTTTTTTTTTTGATACCGATTGAGCTTGTAGTCCTCCACCACTGCATGTCACAGTGAGTATGCATGAGCCTGAGGGGACAAGGAGGCACTCACACTGGCTGACCTCATCCTTGAGTGCCTGAAACAAGCCCTGGTGAACAAGTAGATAGAGGCCTGTGCTTTCAGACATCTTGGGATCATGGGTATACTTGAGGATACAGTTGACAAGAGTTGTTGTCCAGTTGCGGAGTGTCACCGCGTGCACATGCACTGCCCCTCCTTGACCTGGAGTGAATTGCACCTAGACGGCTGATGAGTATGGCCACCAAGCATAGGGGAACTAGGCTTACCCGTGTGCGAAGATATGGGCATGCCCATTTCTCAATGATTTTGGTCGTCTAGAGCTCCTTGTCTAAGCAGTCAGGGTGAGCCTCACCAATGATATTATTCCAACCTGCAAGGATCTCTTCTCGGTGCTTCCAGGTGAAGGGATTGGACCAGTCAAGGACGCACTGGCATTGCTTGTAGATTTGAGCTTGCACAAGTGCGAAATGTTCAGGGTCGGCCTGTTTAGCGTGTTTGAGATGGCTGGCGAGTTTTGTCTGCTTGGGGTCTTTAGAAAGGATGGGGAACATTGCTGCCGGGCAGAAGAGAGGGCGGATGGACACCTCTGGTTCAGGCAAGGAAGTGCGTCCAGAGGTTGATGCCTCTGGTGGTGCAGGGGGGGGATTTGCAGAATAGAGCCCTGGTGTCCGCATTGACGAGTGGCGCCAGACAGCAGGACCTACCGATGACAGTGGATCCACTATTTGAATAGTATTGCGGAGGTCATGCATGTTTGTGTGGCCCACCTGGCGGAGGGCATGTGCGAGACCAGATGCTAGTATGTCTATCAGTCTTGTGTGCACATACGTGATGTGGATGCATACCATTTGGGGGGAGGCCATGGAGAGGGTCAGGATGGCCTTCAGGGTCTGGTGCCATTAGTGGGGGACATGTGTGGGCAAACTGCAAGGGATGAGATTAAGTAGAAATCGATTGCAGGTAGAGGCCGTGCACCCCAACGTAGAGCATGTGGTGATGCGACCTCGGGAAACCTAACCCTAACTTGGGGGTGCAAAGTAAAGGGTGAGTTCCTGTTTCTCGGGGAAGCTGATGAGGGTGAGGGCTTGTAGTTGTGATAGCTCGCTTGAACGGCGACGACTTCACTAGATTTCTTGGGATGGTGTCACGAGACTGTTTCAGACTGTCCGAACACTCCGACTTCTCGTAGAAGTGGAGGGAAGGTAAGAGGGGAGCTAGCTCGACGATGTGAACGCAAAGTGCGATTCGAGCGCAGACACACGGGTCTCGTTCAAAGGTCGGGCACGAGAACAGAACTTTGGAGTACTTAGCTGTATGCGTAGGTGTGCTTCGAAGGGGGTACTGGTTGTAGGCAAAGGTCAAAGGTCGTAGGTGTAGTTCGAAGGTCGCAGACGTAGTTCGGAGGGTCGTAGTTGTAGTTCGTAGGGAGACGCAACACTTCGAAAGAATTTGAAGCCGGACTGAGCTCTGCTGAGTGGGGGATGTGATTCTGCGTGAGTCTTCGCTACTAGGGCCGAGTGCTGGCGTTACAACCATGCAAAACCATTCTTAAATATCCCTCATCCTGCCAAACCTCCTGAGTCACTGCCTCCACTGCCCTGACCGTGCCGAACGATCCCAATATCCTTCCTACTCCCGCCCGACGTCTCCATCAGTTTCCGATTCCCATCCAACACACTATTCCTGCTAGTCTCAGAGGCCCGACCATTGTGAGTCTTGGCGTCGCAACCTGAGCACATCGACTTAAAGGTTTACCCGTCAGCCCTGTATCATATGTCTCAATCTCCGGATGATGGGGTTTCGTCTTCGAAGTCGGGCCCCTGGAATAAAGCTGCCACCAAAAGATCCCGATTGGATTGTCATGAGATCGTGAAACTTTGAAGATGTCAAAGGGCAGGCTTTGCTTGAAGGTGTTTTTGTGTTGAGATATCACAGTCATCCCCGAAGGCAGAAGCTTTGAGTGCTTTGAATGTTGAGTACGACTCGAGGCGCACCCATGCGCTACGCGGGCCTATCAGCAGATCATGATACAAACAAGAAAGGAAGCAGCAGGGCAGCGGGTGTTGTATGCCAGGCGATGTGCTTTGCGGGCGTGTATACACAGCATAACAGGAAACATCCTACCAGTGGTGGGTGGGCGCACGATACGAGCACATGCAGGGCAGATGGTTGGTTATTGTCCTCAAATTGGTCTGCACCGCCATGGCTGATTGATCAGGTGCAGCATGCACTGTGGGGACAATGTCAGTCAGCTCGCCCAGCTCACAGGGGATGCACAGTGGCTCCTGCACAGTCCAGCACAGGTGGCAGCACCCAGTTCAGGCAATCAGTGGTGGCGGATCCTTGAGAGGCTACAGCACCTGCCATGCGCAGGCAAACAAGGGCTGCTATTGTTGTTGTGTGCAGGCGTGTCAGACATGTCAAATGGCATGATGCGGGCACAATAATGAGCTAAGCAGCAGAGGTGTTCTGCATCACCATAGGCAATTGTGATGGACAAGCGCAACACGTACCACAGGGACAATGGACACAGTCAGTTAGTGTCAAGGTTCTGCCCTTGACCCTAACCTTAATCTCTAACCCCAGTACTCACTTGTGTGATAGTGGAAGTTACAAGGTAATAAGCGGAGCTTAGTACTTGGGAGTGGCTAACTCAGAGAGAGAGTTGAGA